TCTCCTCCTCCCATGCCCGCCTCCAGGATTTCTCCAGGACATCACCTATCCTCTGGAACTCCCTACCCCAATCCATCAGACTATAACCTACTCTCCTCTCATTTAGGCACACCCTGAAAACCACCTCTTCTGGGAAGCCTACCCCACCCCCTGCTAATTGCCAACCTCCTCCACTCTTCCTACCACCCCATCCCCCACAGCTATGTCCTCCTGTACCACTATCCCCTCCCTCCCAGATTGTAAGCTCGAAAGAGTAGGGCCCTCGAACCCCTTGTGTATCACATTGTATTTTTTTTTTTTGTACTGTCGCATGTTCTGTCTCCCATTGTAATGTACAGCGCTGAGTGAACTGTTGGCGCTTTATAAATACTGTATAATAATAATAAAATGTTTAGTAAAATCTACATAAAAACAGAATGCAATGATTTGCAAATCTCATAAACCCATATTATATTCACAGTAGAAAACAGAAAACATATCAAACTGACCTGTTACCAATTAACCTAATTAATTGTAAATTGCTCTTCCAGCTCATCCTTGTTAGTACCATTTTGCAAGCTTTTTGTTGCCCTGTCCCAACTTTTTTTGAGACGTGTTGCTGCCATCAATTTCAAAATTACTTGAATTTTTTCTTAGAATGGTACATTTTCTCAGTTTAAACATTTGATATGTTTTCTATTTTCTGTTGTGAATAAAAAAAAAATCAATTTGCAAATCGTTGAATATTGTTTTTATGTAGATTTCCCACAGCAATGGATTCTTGCACCCATTCACTTACAAAGTTATGAAATCACCCTTTTACTTACATTCAAAAAGACAAACATATACAGCAACCTGGATCCATAATCCAGTGATCTGATTTAAAGCTCAATGTTTGAAAACCTCAGGTACACACATTCCAGGTGCATCAAAAAACAAAATTTGTTCAATGTCTTACAGTTATTTTATTTTTAAACTAACTACAGCCCAGGTAGATGGGCCTATTCACCTTTCCAGGAGCATGCTGCAGGACTGGGACCCCTTGCTCTTTGTGTGAAAGCAGTGGTCTTTATACAAAGCTCTGACACAGCCCCCTGCTAAGCCCATAGCTCTGCAATCAGATCACTTGCTTCCCCACAGAGGCAGCATTGCTCGCAGGACACAGTCTTTTCTTACTCAAGCTGTGGTTGACTTTTAAAAATGCAATCTGTCATAATTGCTGGTCATACACACACTTCCAATTTCAAGCCCCTGTTTTGTAGGCTCCACCCAGCTCAAAACGTTTTCAATTAGAAAATCAAAGAGCGGGCAAAAGAGCCAGGCGGCCAGAACTGACTGAGGGACATGCATGATTTAATATCGAGGCTATAATCGCTTACTAGCCACCTAGTAAAGAAAACCATCCTCAGCCTTTCCCCCACCTGAATATAACCACACAAACTCTCCTTCTATGGTGTCAAACGGCCATAGCAGCTCATTTATTTAATCATTTAACAACTATTACATAACAATGCATCAAGTACAAACCAAAGTATTTAACTGAACAATAATGATGCCCAACCGCTGCTGGAAATGTGTGTGACCTGGGATGTAGATGAAAGGGAAACCATGGCACCCAAATGGGAAAACCAAGGAGCAGCACAAGAGGAGGCCATAGTTGGACTTTGGAGATGCAAAATACCAAGAAACAAAACCTAGAAAAAAAGACGTGTAATGAAAATGACTTACATGTATGTGTGAAAGGTAAACACCAAGTGCTATAACACAGAAGAAAGGGAATACTCAATATAATATATTCGAGAAGTTCTTACATACCTCCACATCACTGTTTAGATGACAGATCAGTAACACCAATGCTAATACAGGAACCTTGGCACTGCAGGCAAACACGGTTTAGATACACAATGAGGAAAGTTTAATCCCGTATTCCCCTCGTGTAGATGCTGAAAACAATGTGGCAGCAACCATAGGGGGCTGCATAGAAGTACTCTGGTTGTAGTATGAGGACGTGTTTTATGTAACACCACTCACATGGTTTATAATGGTCCCAAGGGTAACCAGGTGCTCATCCACAAAGAAATCCATACAAAACCCAAAACTAATATAGAGGCACTGATGGGTCTTGCAGAGGAGGTAGATCAATACAGCAGTGTTCTTATTGTCAACGTTTCAGTGAGGCTCAATCTTCAAGATGGTGGTATAATGGTGATCGATTGCCTAATGTTTGCTTTAGGTAAACTGAAATCTGATTGGCTATTATAGGGATAGTACATTCTCTGTTTTGCTTTCAACCTCTCCTTGCATACTAAATAAGCCCTCTTATTTTATGACATGCCTAGAGAACAGTGCTGGAACGCTACTTGTTAGATAAGTAATTAGAAGAAAAACCTTTAAATTGGTCCTTAAAAAATGACATTAACCTGTTTTTGCTTTCTACCTCTGCATACTAAATATTGACTTCCTAACGAACAGAGCTGGAAGCACTTTTAGATTACTCCCCTTTACAACAGAAAAACTTTAATTTGGTCCCTTAAATACATTCACTAACCAATTTGAAGTTATTTTTGAGCCTCTGCACGTAATAATTTCCTTTTAATTCCTCTGCACGTTATGGAAATTGCAAAATCAGTACACTGGGAAAACCCCTGAACAGTAGGAGAAAGGGCAGCTCAAGGAACATTGGAAACACTGGTGATGGGTGAATCATTAGTTTAGGACCAAGTTTCTCAACCTTTTTTCAGTCAAAGTCACCCTTTAAAAATTATGGACAGTCCCTAGGCACTCTTTAAAATTATGGACAGTCCCCGAGGCACTCTTTAAAATTATGGACAGTCTTGAGTCACCTATTCTAAAATGTTGTGCTCAAGACTGTCCATAAAATTTTAAAAGGGCACTCCATTCTAAAATGTGAAAAACTTTTCTAATAGTTTTATATAACGCAGCAACATCCACACATGTAGGACACCCAACATTAGAGGTAATTTATTCTTCCAAAGCAAATACCACTTTTGCACACACTTTCTCCGTGTGTTGCTCTTCTTCCCTTCAGTGCTTTTTCTCCACACTGGTACTGAGTAGTATTCCAGTGTTTCTCTTCTCCATCAGTTTTTTCCATCACTGAGCTAATGTGACCCCAGCACATGATGGAGAGGGGCAGGGGAGGGTCAAAGTAGGATCTGTGCAGGCAGCTGACATCCTCCTTGTCAACTGATGATGTCATTTGGGTGTCAGGACACATGTTGGCTAGAAGTCGTAATGGTGCACAATGAAGACCTGTGGCTTTGTTGTAACCAAAAGGCAGTCTTGTTCCACCCGCTGGCTTGTATACAAGTTTTCAGGCAATTTTTTAGACATTTTGCCAAAGCACCCCTGAGGGTACCTCCAGGCACCCCAGGGTGCCTGGGTACCCTGGTTGAGAAAGGCTGGTTTAGACCACATACAGAATGTCTCACCAAGGTCAAACAAGTCAGGAGGGATAGCTGTGGCTAAAATCTGGGGAAACATTTGTAGTATCATTAAAATGATACCCCCCATATCGAATTAGAGAAACAAGGAGTGCCTACTCAAAAAATAAACAATTCAACAGTTTGACTGTGTTTAGTAAAGTAAAGTATCTAAAGTGCAGCTGTGGTATGAAAAACGTTGTAAACATGTGGCACATACCTGCAGGAATAACAAGATTCCAGCACATACTTTAAAGGAGGAAACTTCACTCTCTCAATCAACATTGACTTTTTTTAATCCTAAATGGTGCTAGCTAGAGATGAGCGAAAGTATTCAAAAATTCGATTCGGCTGATTCGGCGCGAATTCCCGAGGAATAAAATTCGATTCGAGATGCGAATATATTCGCTGCGAATTTAACTTATAAAAAAGGGGTGTTCTAGGCTTCAGAGAGCCTTTTATATTAGTGCAGAACACTGTACCTTTAATTTAAATGCCCTTGGAGTCTGCTGGGGAAGAGAAATAATACTGTCAGTCAGTATGACATGAGATGAGTGCCGTCGATCTTAGAATCAACCGCACACTTCACTCATTTGGGCAGTCACGGGGCCAAAACCAGAGTGTGGAGCCACAGTGTGGCGGTGGAGGCAGCAGCAATGGGAGGCCATACAGCACCCTATGACAAAAATGGAACCCACCAGCAGTGTGAGGAGACCTGAAAGTGGCACATGGCAGAGTGTGCGATGGAGACAGCAGCAATGGGAGGCGTACAGGGACCCATGAGAGACTCTGGACCTGGCAGCAGTATGAGGGAGGCGGTACGGGGGCCCATGGCAGATTACGGGCCCATGGAAGTTTTGGCAGCAGCAATGGGAGGCCCGTATCTGCCAGCACCCTATGACAAAATGGAACACACACCAGCAGTGTGAGGAGACCTGAAAGTGGCACATGGCAGAGTGTGGCGATGGAGACAGCAGCAATGGGAGAGCCGTACAGGGACCCATGAGAGTACTTGGCAGCAGCATGAGGAGGCCCATGGCAGATTACGGGCCTGGCAGCAGCATGAGGAGGGGTACGGGGCCCATGCAGATTACGGCCTGGCAGCAGCAATGGGAGGCCCGTAATCTGCCAGCACCCTATGACAAAATGGAACACACACCAGCAGTGTGAGGAGACCTGAAAAGTGGCACATGGCAGAGTGTGGCGATGGAGACAGCAGCAATGGGAGGCGTACAGGGACCCATGAGAGACTCTGGACCTGGCAGCAGCATGAGGAGGCGTACGGGGGCCCATGGCAGATTACGGGCTGGCAGCAGTCAATGGGAGAGGCCCGTAATCTGCCCACCACCCTATGACAAAATGGAACACACCAGCAGTGTGAGGAGACCTGAAAGTGGCACATGGCAGAGTGTGGCGATGGAGACAGCAGCAATGGGAGGCCGTACAGGGACCATGAGAGACTCTGGACCTGGCAGCATGAGAGGCGGTAAGCATGAGGAGGCGGTACGGGGGGCCCATGGCAGATTACGGGCCTGGCAGCAGCAATGGGAGGCCCGTAATCTGCCAGCACCCTATGACAAAATGGACACACCAGCAGTGTGAGGAGACCTGAAAGTGGCACATGGCAGAGTGTGGCGATGGAGACAGCAGCAATGGGAGGCCGTACAGGGACCCATGAGAGACTCTGGACCTGGCAGCAGCAGAGGAGGCGGTACGGGGCCCATGGCAGATTACGGGCCTGGCAGCAGCAATGGGAGGCCCGTTAATCTGCCAGCAACCCTATGACAAAATGGAACACACCAGCAGTGGTGAGGAGACCTGAAAGTGGCACCATGGCAGAGTGTGGCGATGGAGACAGCAGCAATGGGAGGCCGTACAGGGACCCATGAGAGACTCTGGACCTGGGCAGCAGCATGAGGAGGCGGTACGGGGGCCATGGCAGATTACGGGCTGGCAGCAGCAATGGGAGGCCCGTAATCTGCCAGCACACCCTATGACAAAATGGGACCCACCAGCAGTGTGAGGAGACCTGAAAGTGGCACATGGCAGAGTGTGGCGATGGACAGCAGCAATGGAGGCCGTACAGGGACCCATGAGAGACTCTGGACCTGGCAGCAGCATGAGGAGGCGGTACCGGGGGCCCATGGCAGATTACGGGCCTGGCAGCAGCAATGGGAGGCCCGTAATCTGCCAGCACCCTATGACAAAATGGAACACACCAGCAGTGTGAGGAGACCTGAAAGTGGCACATGGCAGAGTGTGGCGATGGAGACAGCAGCAATGGGAGGCCGTACAGGGACCCATGAGAGGACTCTGGACCTGGCAGCAGCATGAGGAGGCGGTACGGGGCCCATGGCACATTACGGGCCTGGCAGCAGCAATGGGGAGGCCCGTAATCTGCCAGCACCCTATGACAAAATGGAACACACCAGCAGTGTGAGGAGACCTGAAAGTGGCACATGGCAGAGTGTGGCGATGGAGACAGCAGCAATGGGAGGCCATACAGGGACCCATGAGACACTCTGGACCTGGCAGCAGCATGAGGAGGCAGGCAGAACCGCCGTATCTTTATCACGGTTTTTTTCCAGGCCACCAAATGGCGACGCTGCATATGCTGACGCAACGCTGTAGTCCCAACATGGGCCCCCTGGCCACGCTTGACTTTCTGGCCACATAGTCGACATACGGCTACGTTTACTTCCTCGGGCGGCTTGACAAAAAATTGCCACACCGCCGAGTAGGAAACTTTGCCCCCGCTACTCCTCACTGGCTGACTGCTACTTCCTCCGTGCACACCGGCACCACTACTGGCCGTGGTGGTAGTGGAGCTGGTGCTGTACTCCGTGGCCGTTTGCCTCCACTGACACTGCTGCGACCCTGCTGCCTCCTGGGCAACCCACCGACTGTTTTGCTCGCTGCCAAGCTGGCACCCTCTTCTCCTGATGATGCGGAAGCAATAGCCTGATGACGACGAGGCTGCCAAGTGCGATCAGCCTCATCATCATCAATTAGGGTCTCCGCCTCACTACTAGCCCCTCGGCTGCGTGTGGGTCAGGAGACAGACCTGTCTCTAGACCGGCTACCGAGCCACTCTCCTCGCCAGTACTTCTTCGCCTGGCTGCTGAAGAGGCGCATGTCTCCCCCCGTTCCTGACCGCCCTCTGTTAGCTCTTCCTCACTGTACAGTGGGGCTGAGCCCACAGCACGCGATACTTCGCTTGGTGAGGGAACACCAAAGGACAGGGGCAGGTAGAGGACACGTGATTTCAGTGGGCTTGCTCCCGGGCCATGCCAACTAACGGTTGTGTCTGACGTACCCACCGACCGTTGGCTGTAGGTGTCAGAGGTGACCTGGGAAGAGGAAGACGACCGAACCAACCAATCGATGACGGCAGGGTTGTCGGTGGAGACACGACCGCTGGATGACACCGGGAGCACTGGCCTCTGGCTGCGACTAGTGCTGCCTCAACCCCTTCCTCTGCTGCCACGTCTGCTCGCTCCTAAAACATTGCCTTCTCTGCCACTCCTCTGCGTGTTGTCTGACATACTCTTTAATTCAACGTCCCTCAGTAACAATTCTGTGTCTTGTCCCTGAGTAACAATTCTGTGTCTGTCCCTGAGTAACAATTCTGTGTCCCTCAGTAACAATTCTGTGTGTCCCTGAGTAACAATTCTGTGTCCCTGAGTAACAATTCTGTGTCCCTCAGTAACAATTCTGTGTCCCTCAGTAACAATTCTGTGTCCCTCAGTAACAATTCTGTGTCCCTCAGTAACAATTCTGTGTCCTCTGAGTAACAATTCAATTCCCTGTAAACAATTCTGTGTCCCTGAGTAACAATTCTGTGTCCCTCAGTAACAATTCTGTGTCCCTCAGTAACGGTTCTGTGTCTGTCCCTGAGTAACAATTCTGTGTCCCTGAGTAACAATTCTGTGTCCCTCAGTAACAATTCTGTCAGTCAATCTGTGTCCCTGAGTAACAATTCTGTGTCCCTCAGTAACAATTCTGTGTCCTCTGAGTAACAATTCTGTGTCCCTCAGTAACAATTCTGTGTCCCTCAGTAACAATTCTGTGTCTGTCCCTGAGTAACAATTCTGTGTCCCTCAGTAACAATTCTGTGTCTGTCCCTCAGTAACAATTCTGTGTCTGTCCCTGAGTAACAATTCTGTGTCTGTCCCTGAGTAACAATTCTGTGTCCCTGAGTAACAATTCTGTGTCCCTCAGTAACAATTCTGTGTCTGTCCCTGAGTAACAATTCTGTGTCCCTCAGTAACAATTTTTGTGTCCCTCAGTAACAATTCTGTGTCTGTCCCTGAGTAACAATTCTGTGTCTGTCCCTGAGTAACAATTCTGTGTCCCTCAGTAACAATTCTGTGTCCCTGAGTAACAATTCTGTGTCCCTCAGTAACAATTCTGTGTCCCTCAGTAACAATTCTGTGTCCCTCAGTAACAATTCTGTGTCTGTCCCTGAGTAACAATTCTGTGTCCCTCAGTAACAATTCTGTGTCCCTCAGTAACAATTCTGTGTCCCTCAGTAACAATTCTGTGTCTGTCCCTCAGTAACAATTCTGTGTCCCTCAGTAACAATTCTGTGTCTGTCCCTGAGTAACAATTCTGTGTCTGTCCCTGAGTAACAATTCTGTGTCCCTCAGTAACAATTCTGTGTCCCCTCAGTAACAATTCTGTGTCCCTCAGTAAAAATTCTGTGTCTGTCCCTCAGTAACAATTCTGTGTCTGTCCCTGAGTAACAATTCTGTGTCCCTCAGTAACAATTCTGTGTCCCTCAGTAACAATTCTGTGTCCCTCAGTAACAATTCTGTGTCTGTCCCTCAGTAACAATTCTGTGTCCCTGAGTAACAATTCTGTGTCCCTCAGTAACAATTCTGTGTCTGTCCCTGAGTAACAATTCTGTGTCTGTCCCTGAGTAACAATTCTGTGTCTGTCCCTGAGTAACAATTCTGTGTCCCTAAGTAACGGTTCTGTGTCCCTAAGTAACGATTCTGTGTCCCTAAGTAACGGTTCTGTGTCCCTAACTCTGTCCCTCAATACAGACAGGTGGTCTGTCTCTCTTGAATGACTGGAGGCTAATGGAGAATTCTAAAATGGCCGCAATTTATAGCTCGACCATTACACAGTGCTGGCTGGCTGGCTGCTGATTGGCTAATGCGATCACATGTCATGAATGAATGCATTATGGGTCAGCGTGCCTTGTCTGCGCGCCTTCCCACAGATCCCCGCTCCGTCGCCGCACATGTCGCCGCCATTTTTGGAAAAATTTCGATTCGCGCATCCCGAAGTCTGCTAATTTTCGGATTCGGCGCGAATCGAAATTTTCCTAATATTCGAAACGAATTCCACTTCGCCAAGTTCGATTCGCTCATCTCTAGTGCTAGCATTAGAAAATTGATTGGGAAATGTATCATATTTACTTATTTCAAACTTTTTTTTGCATTTCTTTAGTTACCTCTAGTTTCCAGGCCTAGGGAAATGATGCCATACATTCCAGGAGTTTAGGAGAGGAGGAGGGGTTTTCTCAGCTAAGCACACCCTACTGTCTGCATGCCTGAGCTAAGGGCAGATGGATTCCAGAAAGTAAATGCTACATGAATCTTACTCAAGATGGCAATGGCCAAAAACGCTAGGGGGGGGGGGTGTTTTTCAAAGTGATTGCACAGCAGAATAAAGCATGGAGACATGGATGGATGAGTGTGTTTGCTTTGAATACTAAATAATTAAATAGAGTTTTTGGTTTTTGGTGCTCATGTAGTTCCGTTTTAAAGTGACTCTGTCGCTAGCAAAAAGGAACACTTCGATGGGTTTGTAGTGCAGGCACATAGAGCTGCACATACCTGCAGCAACCTCCCAAACCTTCATATCACAGCTGAGTCTCAAACCATTCTGATAAGTAGTAGCTCTACCGCCAATTTAATAGCTGCATCGGCAGCAGCAAAAGGGTTAAATCATGCTGCATGCTGATTCCACTACATGGGCTAGTGTAGGAGGATTTAGTGCCCCAATAGTGGCAGAGCTTGAAAGCCAACTTAGGTAAACATTTTTTCAGGCACGCCAAAAAAAAAAAAAATTTGCATAGAAAATTTGGTAGAGAAGAGAAAATTATTCTTATCATTTTAAGGATTGGGTTAAAGCGATATTAAAGGCATTTAAAAAAGAATAATAAACTTGTTATACTTACCTGCTCTGTGGATGGTTTTGCACAGAGCAGCCCTGAGCCTCCTCTTCTCAGGTCCCTGCCTTTACTCCGGGCCCCCCTCACTCCTGAAGATTGCCCCCTGAGTTACCCTATGGGGCACCAAAGCAGGCTCGCTCCTGAGCCGCTGCTCTGCGTGTCCATTCAGACACAGCACAACTTTCTCTCCTCATTGGCTCACTGACTGTGATCGACCGCAGTGAGAGCTAATGGCTGTCGCAGCCAATGAGAAGGGAGAGTCCCCAGAGAGCAGAGGCTCTGGTGCAGATCGCTAGATTGCGATGGGGCTCAGGGAAGTATAGAATGCATGAAGGTAAAAAGCCTTCAGCCTTTACAACCACTTTAATAGAAGCCTAGGCAAATAATACAAAGTCTTCGTATCCATGAGAATGAGACTTCCTGGTTAAAATAGTAGAGGGAATATATTTCCATGCAAGGCATTATGTAATGTAGCAGATGTTTTACTTAAATGCAATCACAGTTTTAATCTTCACTTGGCAGATGGTTAATTTTTCCAAATTGACTTTATCCTTAAAGGATCACATTCCATTATAGTGTTTGTGTTTGTCATACGGCTGCTCTTTTCTGGAGGTAAGTAGGGGAGGAAGCAGGAATTATTTGTGATTGACGTTATCAACAATAAACCTAGTAAAATGTTCCCACAATACATTTCACGTGAAGCTGTGTGGTATATGGAATGCTGGTGGCAAGGTTGTATCTACAGCTATAGCAGAGCCTGGCAGCTAGGAAAGCACAGTGTCAGGGCCTCAGCGGGGCGGGGAAGGTACAACCAGAGTCAGATTGCTGGTCTGATCACCCACCCACGATGCTACTTTGTTATGTTTACACAGTTTATGTGCAGTGCATGGACAATGCAAGAAAAATGTGTTACAATCCGATTGTATAATCTATTATTATTAACATAGGATTGTACAGAAATCGAAATCCAAATGGACTGGATGGGGTTGAATAAACAGTAGTTAAAGATTTATTAAACCCAAATGTTTAAAACTAATTTCAGACAATTTCTGTCATTTCAAAGCCATTGTTTCTAAGGAACTCTTTAATGACTGGCATAGTAGCACTGGATTGGCGTAAGGCCAATGTGGTGCCAATATTTAAAAAGGGG